TCGAATTGTAACATAGAAAGTAACATAGAAAGTATATCATATTTTTCTGATGTTAAATGATAAAAAATTGCAATAATAAGTTTATTTAACTCCGGCTTCCGGCCAATATTTCATCAAAATTGTGCGGGCAAAAGCAAAAGTGAGGAGATTTGATTGAATGCCGAACATTATTCGCTCGCAAGCATAAGCAAATTACTCGCTTGATTCTGTTCCGAAAAACAGCACAGATCTTAATGTGATTCTTCCTTCTAGTGACCCATCGAGAGTATCGGTAAGAGTGTTTACGGACTTGATTTTTTTAGTGCTTCCTCTCTAACAATTATGTTGCTGTCCAAGTCTCGATCGTTGAGTTTCGAGAGTCTTCGGTCGAAAGAGGCCAAATTAATTGATTGTGGCCATACATCTGACCTCTCGCTTATAATAGTTCTTTACTATGTATATACTGAATTTCGATTGCAATAAAACTTCATGACATCACATATCTTAGTTACAAAATGCACGAAACCTTTTTTGCAACTTTGACTGCAAATTTTTTAACTCTTTTCGGACTTTAGAGACAATGTCAATTTTTTGATCGTAAATTCTAATAAATTTAAATCTGTACAAAATAATAATTCAAGTTCTGTGATAATAAAAACTCAATGTTAAAGTGAATATGTAAGAATTTTTTCAAAGTTTTATGTCGTCCGGAACAATAAAAATCTAAACTAAAGTTCAAAGACCCATGCTGCGGTCGAAGGATGAAAATTTCATATTGCCCTCAGAGAGTTAAAAGTGTGACAGAACAATTTGGTAAACAGGACCGTATTTATGGAAAACAATTGCTTTCATTCTGGTGCTCGAAAAAATAATTTTTTATTAAACAATATAATTAAAAATGTGATGGACGTGCGTTATTTGCATTTATGTGTGTGTTATATTCACACATACGTATACGGCACGAGAAACAATAGTAGGATGCGATTCTCTACGACTCACGTACTTTACGGCAAAAAGCTCATTTATCTTTCGCATTGTTGGCATTAAAGAGAAAAAGAGGTAAACGAGGGAAATGATCTCTCATAGAGAGCCGCTACTACCGGCGCCTCTTAGAGATCGCGGAAAGATATGCGGGCTAACGGATAAAAGTTGATAGGCAAACATCCGCGTTTTTTTTTATCTGCTTATCTTTATACGACGCATCTGTTACTTTGTAAAGCCGTTCGTACATCATCGAAAAGTTTAAGAGATATCTGATTCGTACATCATCGATAAAACGTAATGATAATTATATTTTCTATGTTACAATATCAGAATATTATATCGCCAGAAAGAGCCATACCACATCTCTGCATTTTCGACTTTTATTAAAAAATTACGAAGAGAGAATCCAACATATCCTAAGTAAAAAAATATTCATGTGATCGTTCTTTATACCAGATATTAATATCAATTTACACTAAAAGTATTGAACGGTCATTATTGACTGTTTTTATTTTTTTAGATTAATTTTATATTTTTTATGTAAAAGATAAAGTTCTGCAAATTTTTTGACTTTTCAATAATTCCTTTATATTAATAATAAAATATTCGTTTTATCCATCATTTTATTTATTTTTATAATAATTTATTCGTTTAATTCTTTTAATGAGAGTAAGAAACCTTGGTATGTACTTCTAGTTGACACATTGACCGTTACTATATAATTACTGCAATTAGATAATTTTATCCTTAACATCATTCTTATATCAGCCTATTATTTAAATATGTTAATTACAGGTATTCTTCAAAATTCAATAAAATTTTTGTTCTCCTCTGAAAAGTCGAAACGGCGAGTAGCTGGTATTCATCGACATCTCATCGACAACTCATGAGTTAACTTATTTTAGGCAGCCAACGTGTTAAAAACTTATGAACAAATATAACGCTCGAAAAGCTTGATGGAAGAAAAGTATAAAAATCGTTATTTTTGGCTGTACGTACGTTTGGTTTACGTACAAACAGATGTAGCGTTTATACATTGTGCGATTCATCACTACATTATCGTAAATTATTTACGCACCAACATTTACAATACCAACGAATAATTATTTCATGATATCATCTATGAATGAACATCAATAGGTATTATCGAATATGCTCCGTGCAAGCGATAATCGTTTATCATTCATTTCACTTGCTGTAAAATTGCTTGTCCTTCTTCAAATCGAGAATATCAGAACAACGATAACGTGGACCGCCGTATATTATCAGGTAGAAGGAAAAATCGGTCTTGGCGTGCAAAAAAAAGTTCGCGTATTATTTTTTAGGGAAGGAGTGACGGCGAGTGCACTTAACGACCGTCAAATAAGTATTACGACGTACAAAATGATCGATCGCCGTTACACATCTGCGCGCTTTAAAGACACGAGCGAAAAGCAACCTCGCCGCTGAGTAAAAATCGTGACTAGGCCTTTCTTCCACATCGGCAGGAAATTAATCATAATAATCCCACTACCGGTGCGCGCGGTCGACAATAATTCTGATCGCACCTTCGTCATTCATTATACAAAGCCAGACAGTACATTCGGTGAACATGAAATTCGCAGATTCACCCAACTGTAAAATATACCAAAGAGAGAATCCGGGATTTTTTTAACACAATACTGTCACATCAAGCGGAAATTACACAGTAATTCAGATCCGCAGTCTTTCCACTGTAAAAAAAAAATATTCTTTTCCGTGTTAATAAAATCAAGAATCAATCCGATTGCTGTCCGTATTGCGAAGTCAAATATATCGAGTTTCCAATTAAACTCTAATTTAATGTTTACTTGGAATAAAAGTTCATCTAGTACTATATATTTTAACCCTTAATACACATGATTAGATGATCATTCGTATCATGAGTTTTTTTTCTTTGAAATACAAGGAACATTTGATTAAATAATGGTCTCTATTTTTTTTTCCTTTTTTTTTTAATACATAACTTTATAAATACTTTTTGAACACGTTAAAATATATATAGAATCATTTAATAATTTTTATATATCTATAAGTGATGAGAATTAACCTGGTACATTGATCATACATTTAGAGAGATACTTTACACGTATAATCTCGATGACGTGTTCGACATATGATGTTCCTATACGTTCAAAGAGATGAGAAATGAGAGAATATGCGGACAGGATTTCTCTCCCCGGAAGATACGAGCGAAGAAACAGAGGATGAACATGAAAGACGCGACGGGGAAGTGACAAAGGGGTTAACATAGCGTTTTGGGGGGTCCTCATGAAGGAAGTTGACCCAGATGCGAAACATCACCCCGGTAAAGATCGGATCTCGCGCGATGCAACGAAAACACAGTTTGTGTCTTGTCACTTTGCGTGACTCGCGTATTAAGTTCGGCATTGGTGCGACACGGCACGGTTATATTTTCAGACAGGGTGGTCCAGCGATGCCTCGAAAAGCACACGCCGAGTATTCTTTCGTTCTTTCCCGTTCAAAGGGGCGCGCAACTGATTTCGATGGCGCGTGTTTGCGCAACGAGCGACTCAACCAGATCAAAAGATGCGGATTTTGGACGAGAACCGTGCACTTGAGTGAGCGAGTGTATATAAGATGCGTGAAAACTCAGGCGTCAGGCGCTAATAGCTTCAGCGAAAAAGATGAGGATTCACCATCAATCGACGAAGCGAAAAACTTTATAAAAAAAAAGCAAACTCGTTTCGAATAACGAATCGAAATTTTTTCATACGTTTCTTACATTTCATACAACGTGAAATTTGTGACGTCGCATTAAGTGCATCTCTATTATTATTATTTTTTTTTTTATAATAAATTTTATACGTTTTTAGCGTCGTTTTAATAATATGTTTTTTGTAATAAAAATACTACCTTAGCGGCTCTAACCCTCTTATTGAGGAATTCTATAAAAAAGATACAGAAGGATGCGTAAAAACATGTTACAAAAGTTACGATTTCATTGTAGATGATTGCCCGCCATTACGTAGAGCGTTCGTATCATCTAGAAAGAAGTGGAACGCTGCTAATTATGGTTCGATTACCCTAATCAGTGAAATAATACTTCGTCGCCTGCCGAGATTAATTTTAATGGTTCAATATTTTGTAATTAATAATTAATCGAATATTCTACGAGACTGCTATATTCTTCATTGAAGTAAATATATAAACGATGCCTTTTTAAATTTCAAAAAAAGAACATAACTATGAATTGTTTATCAAATTTTTAAATCTACATGTTAAACATCTTTATAAATCTTTTAAAACATCATAATGCGCAATATAATAGCTGTTTGTTAATTAAATATTTAATATTTGTTAGTTAAATATGTAGTATTTGTTGCGCGTACGCGCACACACACACACACACACACACACACACACACACACACACA